TCACTCCACAGTTACCATTGTGGCTCATTACTCTTCTGAGCTTAGTTTAGAACGACATCTCCCTGGGTCTTCCATTTCTTGACAGCCCTAAAAAGGATTTCTTTTTCCTTTTTAAAGCCAGAGTAGGTGCCTTCTCCTCCAGAAGCCCCTTTGGAGCGTCCTCTCTGCTCCCGGGATCAGGAAATCCACTCACAGTGAACACGTCGACTCACACATTCATTTTTACCTCATTTAGCATGATAAGAATTAGATTGTTGTTGCAGAGGCTTGTGCATTGTTACTAATCACCAGAAGGGCACTTGTACACAGAATAAGGAAAAAAATTATCAGCTAGGTTTTATTCCCATCTCTAATGAAATGTCACCATAGCTTCCCAGGTTCCCTGTACACTGTCTTCTCTTCTCCACCAGCTTCCTGGAAGGAAACCCTCCTTGCATAGTTCCCCGGGCCGACTCCCACAGAGCCCTTCCTGTGTCAAGGCTCACCTCAGTGTGTACTGTTCTCTTGAGGTCTGAAGGATGGAACCGAATCTTGTCTGTGCAGCATCCCCCACGCAGCAAGGAAAGTTCAGGAAAAAAGAACATCACTAATGCCTGGAGGTACCTGCTAGTCACCTGAGCCCAAACCAGTGCCCCTGCCCTTGTGTGATCGGCTCTCTGTGTTGCCCAGGAAGCCAAGAGGCTGGGATAATATTCATTCAAATAAAACCCCTTTTGGCCCAAATGGCACACCATGAGGAAACCTTGCCATGTGTAGACTGGGACCTCACATGACTCTAACTCAACTTTGTGGACCAGTCTTCAAGTGGCAAGTTTGGCTTTGAGCCTGACCTGTCCCCCATTTGGGTGTTGACAGCCCAGCTAGTAACTAACACTTGAGGAAATTAGTGACGGGTGTAGACTTCAGGAGCACAGGGTCACAGGGCTCCAAAATCCTGATCTCTCTCCTATTGAACCATGGACAGCATGGAGCACGTTAGTGAGCCTTCATAGGCTCTCATTCCAAAGTCACGCCTTCAATCATGGCCTTTGCTTTTTCAGTGTTGTGTAAATAATCACCGCACCGATGCTCTTTTGTGTCTGCTTTATGAAAGTTCTGTAAGTGAGATCGCTCAGTGGGGAAAGGCAACTGTTGCCAAGCTTGGACCCAAGTTCAATCCTTGGCATCCTTGTGGTAGGGGAGAACGAACTCCTGCAAATTATACACACACACACACACACACACACACACACACACACACACACACACGTCGACCAATCAATAAATGTAATGAAACTTTCAAGCTAGACCTCACCACTGTAGCCAAGGCTAGCAGTGTAACATAACACCTGGGAATAGTGAATCCATCAGAGGAATGAGAACTGACTATGGTTCTTACCTAGTGACTAACAGGGAAGATCAATGACAAGGCCCTGGGCTCTGGCTCTCTCTGGGCTTCATTGCATTGTCAAAGACTATAAGAATTGCCACACTCATGAAACCAGGGCAAAAAAAATGATATAGAAAACAGTCTGCATGGCCAGTGTGTGATGAAATATAATGTTAAGCTTTTACTTGGTGCTGAAAGATATTATCCTTTTAGTCAATATTTGGTAGCAGATAATGACGTGAAATAAAAAAGCTGCTTCCTTTCTCTTGTGGCTGTTGGGAGACTTGGTGCAGATGCTCCATCCTCAGTCACAGTGAATTTGTGAACTGGAATTTTTAGCGCATGCATTTTTCTTTAGTTCTTACAGTATTTTTGTTTTTCTTATACATTTAGATTTTTGAAGTCAGTATTTTATACATATAATACATTTTTGGAAGAAGATAAAGTGTATTCTGCAAATACTTTTTCACTTGTGGAAACAGAAAATACATGCTATTGGTCATTTGCATCTTATAATATTGCCAGAATAGGAAAATAATACAAATAAAGTAAAGATCTAGGTGTGTGTGTTCATAAACACAAGCACACAAGTGTACCCATGCAGAATCACGTGCTTATGAATTTGACAGCAGACTTGCCAAAAGCGAAGACAGCAAACACATAAAACCTTTGTGTGCAGGGTTTCCAGCCTCCCCAGTACAAGGACTCCTGTAGCTAGAGTTTTCCCACCTTGCCCACAGTCAGGACAAACTTTGTCACCCGCCAGTCCCACAGCCACTCAGACTCAACCAAGTAAACACAGAGACTTATATTGCTTACAAACTGTATGGCAGTGGCAGGCTTCTTGCTAACTGTTCTTATAGCTTAAATTAATCCATTTTTATAAATCTATACCTTGCCACATGGCTGGTGGCTTACCGGTGTCTTCACATGCTGCTGGTCATGGCGGCAGCTGGCAGTGTCTCCCTCTCAGCCTTCCGCTTCCCAGTATTCTTTTCTCTCCTTGTCCCACCTATTTCCTGCCTGGCCACTGGCCAATCAGTGTTTTATTTATTGACCAATCAGAGCAACAGATTTGACATACAGACCATCCCACAGTAGACTCCTGTCATGGCTAACTCTAAACCATCAGTAATAAAGCTATGGCTTACACAACTCCACAAGGACACCTCTCACAGTTCCCTGCTGAACTGACGTGCAAAGCAGGATCAAAAGGCAGGAAAGAAGTGAAGTCAGCCCAGGTCCATTCTTAAAGGTCCAGACTCCTGAGAAGAAATAAAGAATGATGACCAAGCTCTCACATCCTTATGAAACCAGACTTCTTATATGCTATGGATTCATCCGTTTATTCAACATGCTTTGTTTACAGTCACAACAGGCACTTGTTATTAGGTTTTCAAGCAATGGATTCCTTAGACTCATGGAATGGGAGTCAGAGATGTTGAAGGGAGATAATGACGATGACCCAGGTGAGAGCTGGGCATAGGAAGCCAGTGGGGCAGCCGACCACTCCCAATATGGATGGGATGATCAGGGAAATTAATGGAGATTGTGACTCAGGAAAGAGGACTTCAGAGGGCAAAGGTAGCCAAGAGAAGGGCCGCCCAATTGATTCATAAATACACAGCTTAGTTGGCAAAGTGCTTGCCTAGCATGTGCAAGGCCCTGGGTTCAATCCCTGGTACCCCATAAAACAGTTCTGGTGTCACATATTGGTAAGCCCAGCACTCAGGAAGCTGTGGGTTGAGGCAAGAAGATCAGGGGCTCAAAATCATCAATTAGGGCCAGGCTAGGGTACCTGAGACATGATTTCAAAACAAACAAACAAAGAAAAACGTGTTTAAAGAATATTGAAACACTTGAAAATAGTCTGAGTTTATATTCACTATAAAATGATTAGAGTTTTCTGTCCAAAGAACATTTTTCTTTTTAATGTTTTGTGGAATGCATAATTGATTTTTTTGACATGATCACGATTTTGTTTACAAATGTGTTTCCCACCATAGAAATCAATACAACTGCAATTCAGAAGGTTTCTGAAAAGCCAACAATAATTCTGCTTTAGTGTTTATTACAGAACTTTGTAATAACAAAACAATTACAACGTCAAAATGCTCATCAATAGAGGAATGGTAAAAATCCATGGGGTTTGAAATGATATGTAATAAAAAAGATCACTATAAAGTATATTGATGTGGAATGTTTTTAAAGTCATAGTTTTGAGAACAGCCATGAAGAAAGAATGGCCTGGGGCTGGAAAGATGGTTCAGTGCTGAAGAGCTTGATGTAGAAGCATGAAGAACTGAGTTGGGACCCCTAGCATCCATGTAAAAGCCACATTGGTGGAGTGATTCTGTAACCCTAAGGCTGGTGCATAGAGACAGGTAGATCTTGGTAGCTAATTGGTCAACCAGCCTATACAAAATGGCAAGATCCAGGGCAAAATGGAGATGTCAACCTCTGGCCTTCACACATGCCTTCAAGAATGAGTGTAACCTCAGGCACACTTATAACACACACACACACACACACACACACACACACACACACACACAAAGAGAGAGAGAGAAGAGAGAGACTAATGCTATTATAAATGCATAAAATAGAGAAATAACTCACCTCTAGGATGTTTGTATATTTGAAAGAGAGATGATGTCACCTTGTTATGCTTAAAATCCTCATCACGATGTATGTATTTACTATGGTGTTCATTGCATACTTTCTAATAATGTATCAGTCAGAAGAATGAGGGTGTGGGGAGTCTTACACTTCTGACACTGTGACAGAAACCAGGTAAATGATTCATATGTTTTCCCTGTCTTTTATTTGTGAAAGAGACACATATATGGATATAATCATAGTGCACACAGAGATTTTCTCATTTCCTTCAGCCCACATTTAAATTATTGTTGCCTGGTTACTATAACTAAGGATAAATTAAAGTATATATCATGGAGAAACAGTGTAGTGGTACACAAGCACCGGGACTTGTGTTTGATGCACAAAACCCACACAAATATAAACTCGACACAGTTGTACTTGCTGTATAATTACAGCCTTTGGGAGGCAAAGACAGATGGATCCTTGGGGCTCACAGACCAGTTAGCTCAGTGTGCTAAGGTCAGTGAGAAACCCTATCTCAAAAAGCAAGGTGAGTGGCTCCCAAGGAACTACCTGAGGTTGACCTCTGGCCTCCACATGCACATATTGCACACACACACATTTGCATATGTACCTGCAAAACCTTGTACCTCCAGGAACACCATACTTGCATGCACACACATGTAATTTGTATAATGGCTTTCTTTGAAAATACTTTGTGTGCACTTTGAATTTATTATTGACTATGGACATCTTTGTGCATGATTTGATCCCAAAACTAAAACTCAAAGAATTGCACACACATGGTAGTTTTCTTGTTTATTTTATAGCTTTTTGTTTTTCTTCAAGAGTCATAGATTATTGACCAGCCACATTCTAGCAAAAAAGACACAAAATTGAGGACGAGCCAGAGGCAGTCAGTGTCCACTCCACATCTGCTGACTGCCTCTGCAAGTAGCCACAGGACACTTGAGGACTTGCCCAGCGTAACTGGTGTCCAATGGCTGTGAAATAAATTAAACTGAAGACAAACAGGAGACATGTGAGTGAGCTCCAGCTAAAAAGTAACAGGCAATGGGTGCCCCAGCAGCCCAGGGAGCAGCTGACCAGGAATCTGGTATTTTGTTGATGGCAGCTCTGCTCCCATAGGCACCTTTGGGTGGACAAACAGGCTCAGTAATTGGAGACGTGCATCTGGCCTTGGTTCTAATGTGCCCAGGTGTGAAGGTCTTAGCTCATCCAGGACCAGTCACAGACAGCGTGTGCATCTGAACATCCAGAGAGGCTGCCCATAAGCACAGCTTGAGTGTAGTTGCTGCATCAGAATGCGTCCATGCATCTGTCTCCTTTTTAAAGATTTAATTTATCATTTTATTTTATGCATATGTGTAGAGGCCTGAGTGTTTGTACACCGTATATGTGGAGATGCCTTCAGAGACCAGAAGAAAGCACCGATCTCCTGGAGTTGGAGTTATTGGTGGTCATGAGGCACTTGGTGTGACTGCTGGAAACTGATCCCAAACCTTCTGCAAGAGCAACATGTACTCTTCTCTTGACAGGGAGATGTCACCCCAGCCATCGATGTATGATGTATTTTATTCTCCACTGGTCAGAGGCTCCATAGCTCACCACTTGTTTTACTTTGAAATAACTCAAGAGTTGTAGGAGGTGCTGTCCAGTGCTGACAGCAGGATGTGGTACATCTCCAGTATCTCCAGTCTCTGTGTGGGGTCCATTCCCTCACACACAAGCTCAGCAGTAACATGCAGAACTCTGCGCCACCAGGAACTCCTTCAGAGTCACCCATGCTAATCCCGATCCCCACCCCTGCACGGTCTCTAACCCTAGGCCCCAGGAAAGGCTTATCTTTTTTTCTATCCGTAAACATTGTCATCTTAATAATACTTAATGAATAGAATCCTAGCCTGTATGTTTGTGATGGGCAGTGCCAGTTGTCAACTTGAATTTAGAATCTGGGCACATCTGTGAGTAGATTATTGAGATAGGTTAACTGAGAAGGGAACACTCAGCCTGAATGTGAACACTCCCACTCCATGGGCCAGGAACTCAGAATGAATATAATGAGCAAGCAAGTTAAGCACCAGCATGCATGTCTCTCTGCTTCCTGACTACACATGCCATGTGACCAGCTACATTGTGTTGCTGCTACTATGTGGCCATGATTCACTGAACCATGTGAGTGAAAACAAACACTTCCTGACTCCAACCAGGTACTTGGTCACCACAACAGAAGTAACGGGTGCAGTGACTGAGGGTTTGTTAACGGCATCCACAGAACCCTTGAGATCCACCAAAGTCAGTCCATGTGTGTAACTCTCTTGTTATCGATGTGTACGTATACCCATTGTGTAGTGTGGTGCTGTGGAACAATCCTCTTCTACACTATGAATATGTATTATTCTCATTTGCTAGGGAAAAAAAGCTGATTTGCCAATAGCTGGGCAAGGAAAAGATTGAGTGCGAGAGCCAGACTAGGAGAATTCTGGGAAGAGGAAGAGTGGAGTCAGGAGTTCCCAGCAAACTCAGAGAAGCAAGATGAGAATGCTGTACTGAGAAAAGGTACCACGCCACATAGCTAAACAGATAATAATTATGGGTTATTGAAGTGTCAACTAGTTAGTAAGTCTGAGCTATCAACCAAGCATTTATAACTCATATCCCTGCCTCCAGAGTGTTGAAATCACGGGTCAGCTGCCATTTGTGTCAGCCTTTACGTTGGCCCGGGGATCTGCATTCTGATACCCTCTATCATCTCCCCAGCCTGTTCTTAGAACCCCTCAGTAGTCATTTGAACTTACACTCTCACTGGGGTGCTTTCTGATGAAATCTCCCCAGGTGGCTTTATGCTTTCTCCCAGCCCGCATGCTGTCAGCTCTGGGTTTCTCCCTCCATTCTGTCCTATCATCCTGAGTAATGGTTTCTTAAGCAAAACAGCAAGACTGTCTCCAGCCTCAGCTCTCATTTCAGGAAGGCAGAAGATGAAAGTGGATTTTCTTTTTATTTTTAAAGAGGTGGCACTCATTCCAGGAAAGCAAACTTTCACAGAAATCCCCAGCTGACTTATGCCTTCATCGTCTCAGTCATAATAGTGTCAGCCAGCTGCCCGGACAGATTTTATGAGTGCCGTTTTGTCTTCTTTTGTCTAACCCACGACTGCCCTGGGGGAAAAGCCATCCGTGTTAAGCAAAAGAAGGGGAGAATGATTTGAGTTAGAGACCGAGTGACATTCATTGCTACACCAGGTTAGACCTGCTTGATGTCTGTCATAGTTAATAATGACTGTCAATTTGACAGGATCTAGACTCACCCAGAAAGCAAGTCTTGGGGAATGCCCGTGAGGGAGGACTTAGATTAGGTTGACTGAGATGGAAGAACCCTCTTGACCGTGTGCAGCACCATTCCATGTTGTGGGTCCCGAACTGAACAAAAACAAGAAAGTATGATGAGTGTCGGCATGTGCTGCTCTCTACTTCCCCAAGTCACTGATGCCCTGAATTCCCCACCCCACAGATGGTGCCATCAAACTGGGCACCAAAATAATCCTTCCTTAAGCAGGTTGTTGTCATATGTCCAGCCATACAAGACAAGTAACTACAGCATCTGTGGACGACCATGACTGCAGCCCTTACAACACTAGTTGCCAATGTCTGATCCTCAATGTATATTGGGACTCTCCTTTGGGACATCAGGGCCCATGAAGCTCTATGTTTTGTTTTGTTTTTTCCCTTGGATGGACTTGTTGACATGTTTCACTTGTTCTGGGAGTTTACCCTGCTGTCTACATCACCTTTCTATGTCACCCTTCAAAACAAATGTCATAATTTACATCTGTAGCTTGATGCTACATTTTGGGTCCAGGAACCTTCCCTGTGGTTTCAATGTGGATACCATCCCCATGGGTAACTCAATGTCTCTGAGATTGCTTGGGCATGCTTACAAGCACAGTAGATGAGGAGTTCTGATTTTAATCACAGGCTCAGCACACAAGGGTCTCTCTTTTGCATACGCTGTACTGTGGAAACACCTTCTCATGGCAGCTTATGTGTGTAAAGTCAGTCTCAAATCAGACGGAGAGAGCTCACCACCAGCCTGTGCTCCACTTGGACCACTGAGTGTTCCATGGTTGTGGCCAATAACCTATCTGCATTAAAAATGCCTCCTTTTGTCAGTGTGTGGCTTTTGTGAGCTTTTTTTTTAATAGGAGGGAGGAAAAGTTTCTCAACTTAGCATAGCGAAGCCCATTTTCTAAAGGGCCTATAAATAATCTTGAATTCCTGGTGCTGCCTCAAAATGCGGCTCTTCTGAGCTGCAATGTCCGCTCTTTCTCTGAAACTGGAGTCGTCATTCAAAAATAGTTTCACTCAATTTAACTGCCTATTGAGCCCTCTAAATTACAGATATTAAGCCCTTGGTTTCAAAACAAACTTAATGAACAGTTCTGACAATCTATAAGCAAGGCCACTGGAAATTCATGGGCCAGATGGAATCACAGATTACACCATTTTCCTACTGGGCTGCAATTTTCGGCACCTGGATCGACATTCCAGGGATACATATTATGTCTGCTGCAGTAATTCCTGATAACCGAATTTGTGCTTTAGAAAGCTCAGTGCCAGCAGAGAAATGCCTTTTAACTCCACTGGCAATGCCTTGAAATGTCAGGGCAGAACTCAACCTGACCATGGTGGTGACAAGGTACTCTCTTCTCACGAGCTTAATTAGATGTGTTTCGATGTGTGTGTGTCACTGAGGACTTTCCAAGAGGAAATTCTTTGAGAGAAGCAGCAGAAATAGGTCATTAGGTAGGGGCAGCCACCCTAATGGCATGGAAAGTTCTGGATCTTTCAGAGGTATGAGATAAGGAAGAGGAGGTTGTGTCAAATGATAAGGAAAAAAGGAGAGAGTGTTAAGGTCTCCATTATTCCTAGGAGTTAATCTGTAACTCACTTTAAATATTCCACTATCTGCTTTATGGATGAGGGATGCTGGATGACATCCTTACCACAGCCTTCAGTGTGGTGGCAACAGAAAGCAAGACACAGGGAATTGAGGAGTAGGGGGAGGGGAATTGGTTCCCTCATTCAATATACCCCACCAGACCCAAACCCTGGCCAGGAGTGCATCTCCATGGCTGTTTTCACCACAGGCTTGCTCTCTTTCTTCCCCCACATTTGTATTTGTTGTGTCATTATGTACATACTTTCCCCATCTGTCTTCCTGAGAGCAGAGGAAAAGGTTACTCTACTTGTAGAAGTTCAGCAGATTCGCCTCCATGTCCCTTGTGCCCCAAACAAACAAACAAACAAAAAAAAAAACCTTGAAATGTTTTGGTTGACAGACTACACACTCCAATTTCCCTGGGCAAATTGAGTGATTTCCTCCTATGATAATCAGAAAGCAACTGACAGGTGGGTTTTTATTTAAAGGCAAGGAGTCACCAGGCAAGAAGGCAAAACTCAGCTTCAGGTACTGAGATATGGGAAAGACAAGACTCGCCTGGGTTGTCAGCAGGACTGAGCCTTTGTGAACTTGCAGATGCTGTCTCAGCCTCTTGCTTTTTGCTCCCTCATCACAGATATCAGGAAGGCTTACTACAAAGGGACCCAGAGGGGCTTTCTTCTGGAGTTCCAGGGACAAAACCACCTTTGATGTGAAGCAAAGAAAATCCCATCAGCTTTACACATCCTGCCCAGAACTCTAGGAAATACTGCGGCCAAATGGCTATGTGTTAGAGGATAGGAGGTCCCTGGGGAGTTCATAGTCTAGCTACTTGGCTTTGCAGACATGCAGGGAAACTCCAGATAGGCAAAATAAGTCACCTCTGGGATGCTGCTTGTCACCACAGGTTAGTGTCATGTTGTGTGGCCCCAGCTCTTAGCAACCCTAAAACACTGAGCACTTACTAATAGATGACTCATGGGGGTTTGCTTTTATATTTCAAGGGTCTGGTGGGAATCAGATGATTATATCCAGTAAGCCCCCAAATAGCGAAAAAGAAAACCAATCTGTTTTGCAAGGAGAAGGTATTTCTTTACTTTGAGCTGAAATCTGGTGACATAATATATTGTTAATTCATTACTGGATGAGGGTCTGGTAGGTACGGATATATAATTCTCACCATCATCAGGCTAAGTTGCCTCAGTATCTGTGGGAGACTTGTTCTGGGACCTCTATGGAACCCCAAATCTGTAGGTGCTCATGTACGCAAGAAGATTCAGTATGTGCACGGAAGCTGTATGCATCCTTTCATGTATGGTTCACAATCTCTACATGACTTCCAATACCTAATATGCTGTGAATCCTATGGAAAAGTCCTGCTGCTGGGCTGTTTACGGATCAAGGGGGAAAAAAAAAAACTATACTTATTCAATATATAACCTTTCTTCTTCTCCTCCTCCTCCTCCTCCTCCTCCTTCTCCTTCATCCTTGTCCTCTTTTTCTTATCTCCTTTATCACAGCTGGTTGAATCCTTGGGCACAGAACTAAAGGTCACAGTGACCAATTGCACACATAGACTCTTGTCATCTCCAGCAATAACAAACAGCAGATCACTCTTTCTTACCTCAGATTTAAACTTTGGCAACAACGGCACTGATCGTCATGCCACCTTAACCCCAGCCTCAAGCTGTTCATTGCAGCTTTTCCAGTAAGACACATCACAGAAGATGCAAGGAGGCAGGCTGCATACAGGACACTGGTCATCTAAAGGGATCTTCCCCTGCTCTCCCCTCTCCAGCTCAGGGTTGTCTTTTTTCTTTACCTTCAAGGAGGTTGTGCATAGAGAGGTTATCCCTTCGAGTCAGCTGTACCTGCAACAGAGATTCTTGTCTTAAGGAACCAGTAGATCTGCTCACAGGCTAATCAGGCAGTGGCTTCCTCAGGAGCACGGGGAGACTAGGATGCATGCTTTAGCATTCGAATGCGGCTTTAGGGGCTCATTTAAAAATATAATTCAGGCCATAGAGGAAGCCTTTAAAAATGATGGGCAGCTGTCTCTTTGCTCTCCTTGAAGTAGAGGACAAAGTGGCCTCCAAGACAAATGAAATCCACGGGATGGTTCAGCATCCTCCCTGTTCCCTGGCTCGCTGATTCATTTGAAAAGGGTGTTATTTAAAGTGAACTTTTACATCTATTTTTATTAGTTGTTATTGTAACATCACCCCAAACCAGACTCAGAAGTGTCGTTTCAGACTCTACCTTCTTTTATGAACTTTTTATTCCCTCTTTAATTCATCCATCATTTATTTAGAACCTGCTGTTCACAGATCATGCCATGAAGATTTCAGTGGCAAACATGGAAATAGTGCAGGCTAGCCCATTGGAACACACTTTGCTTTTTTAAAATCTCACAGCGCTGTCCAGGGGATTGGTCCTGGGAGATCATTTCTCATCTAAATGCTCCCGTTTTCCACTTGAGCTTATGATGGGGTGAGAAAGGACAAAGCAGCCATTGTTCTCTCTAGCTTCCCCCAGTGATCTTTTATCAGGCTCTGAATTCCAAATCGGTTTCCCTTTTTCCTGATTCTCCTATTTTTATGTCAGTAATGAGGAGTCCAAATGCCCAGCAAAGTGCTGATGGGTGCAGCGCTTGCTCTGTCTGGAGACGAGCTCGGAAGATTTATGGTTTGGGGAGGTTTTTGTGATACTCAAGTGGAGAAGCTGGCTCAGAGCACTTAGTCTGGGGAGATGAGAGGATTGCCAGGGCCTTTCTCTTACAGCAGGATTCCCGCTGACCTAAGGGAAAACATTCTGGAGGCAGTGGCTGCTGACCTGAGTGTTTGAGGGTATCACAGCACCCCTCGGACCCATTACTTCTGTCTTTGATGAGATGCTCTTTCTGAAAGACTCACAGAGAGTGACATCTTTAGGGCAATCCCCTGGACAAACCTGACTGGGCACAGTGTTTCTCAGAATCCACACATACCCTTCACACCATTAGGAACAAACAGAATATAAGAATTCATATTGAGTGTGTTTTCTCCTCCGCCTTACTGTTTTAAATCTAGGGAACCTTCCTGGATGGTGAATCAGCAAGCTGAACAGACCAGTGATTCCAATTCTTAACAAAATCCTGTTTCAAACTATGAAAGGCACTAGAAAACGGTATATCATTAATGTAAAAATATACAAATAAATTAAAACTTAGGACCAGCTTTACTATGCAACTCACTGTGAAGTGGGCACTTGTAAAGGGACAGTCCACTGTGGTTCAAGGTCGGGGGAAACAGTGAGGCCAGGGAGATGCTTCAGTCAGTAAAGTATTTGCCTCACAAGCTTGAGAATATGAGTTAGATCTCCCAGAACCTGTAAAAAAAAAAAAGCCAGAAGGAGCAGCATGCATCCTAGGGCAGGGAAGTGGAGACAACCAAACCCCGAAGCTACTTAAACCAGTGAGCTCTGGGTTCAGGATAAGATTTGGTCTCAAGAAACATGGTAGAGAACAATTGAGGTCAATTCCCAATGTCAACCTTTCCTCCATGCTCATGTGAAGGACCAAGAGTTAGAACCCAAGATGAGGAAAGGGGCCAGGCTGAGTTACAGTTCTACTGCTGTGAGGGGACATGACCACAGCAACAATTATAAAAGAAAGTGTTTGATTAGGGACTTGATCAAGACTCCTAGATGGAAACACATGTGCACAGGTGCTCACGTTCACACATACACCACACAGTAAAGTGTGGAAAGACCAATATTGATAGTCAGAGTCAGAGTCTGTAATTCCCAGTACCCCATTCTCTGACCTCTGCTAAGTTCAAACCCACTCATGGCCTGAGGTGTCGTCTCTGTTCTCAGAACAATCCACGGACCTCTCAACACTTACTTGGATCATAGGAAAAGCTGCTGTCGCTGTCTACCAAGTCCATGCGGGTCTTCAGCCCCACCCTCCCTGGAATTTGCCTCCTGCACTTTGAATGTGTACATGTGTCTCTCTGTAGACAGGGCGTGACACCTTTATATACATTCTGTGCTCTGTTGAGGAACAACAGAGTACTGAGTCTTTTCAGATGAGCATGCAGGGACTTCGTAGACAGTTGGGCGCACTGGCTGGGGAGGTTTCCTTTTGAACACACCTGAGGATAAAGCCACTGGGCATACAGTCTGTATTTCTCCTGGAAATTTTTGTTTGCATGGATCAAAGAATCTGAGAATTTAGAGATTGCATACTCTACCCTGACCTTTATGTCAATGTACACACATATATATGATCTATAGCTGATATATCATACATATTATATATACTATATATTTAATACATCATATATATTGCATATATATCATAAAAGAGTTCAAAATATGATCTGTTTTAGGTATTGTTTTTGCAGAAGAAAGAGAAGTGTGGTTGACACTGTAGCTCTAAGCTAGGACTGATGTGGAGTCCAGGGTTACCAGGGACATGAGCAGAAAGAAGGGCCGTTAGTTCTGAAACTTCAAAGGCAGGCGGCTCTCCACCACAGCACCTCCTAGACAAGAAACAAAGTTCCTCAACCTGAGCAGGGATAGAAAGGCCTATCTCTCACTACACCTGGCCCAGGCAGAGCAGTGATGCAGAATGAGGGAGCCAGAAGCCAGTCAACAATAGGACATGTTCTGCAGCCTGGCTGTGATGTCATAGAGGACTGCTCTTCTCCTCCCTCTTCCCTGAGTGGCAGACAAGGAGACCCCTGGCTCCGTGAATACACTGGATACCAGACTTCTGGGCAGAATGCAGTTCCAGGGCCTGAAGGCTAAGAACAGCACAGGACTTCAGGCTTAGCACTCCTTTCTCAAAATGCAACAGTGAGTATCAGAAAGATGCTCCGAAGGTTTTTGTTAACTGTCTTTTTAATAAACTTCTAGAACTATGTCAAAACCATGCTAAGTAGCCTACAGTAAAATAAAACCCTGCTTAGACTATGGTCTTGAGGATTTCCACATCACAATATCAAAATCAACACCCAAAAGCCCCTTTGCTACTATCTCTGGCACATCATTCCAGGATTCAAGAGTTAAAATCAACCCCTGACCCTATCACAGGTCGACCTGGGGTGCAGTCTCCAAAGGCGATTCTTTGCCAGGAGCCGACTATATACCAGGTATTAGAACAACAAAAATTTGGCCGGGCGGTGGTGGCGCACGCCTTTAATCCCAGCACTCGGGAGGCAGAGCCAGGCGGATCTCTGTGAGTTCGAGGCCAGCCTGGGCTACCAAGTG